CAAAAATGATATTTTTGATAAAACGTTACTTAAAATATCATATTTTAACCGAAAATTTTTATCACTTTTACTTATATAGTTAATTAAAATCGATTAAAATAATAATATTTTTGATCAATTTTTATTAATTTTATTATTTAAAATAATAGCAAATTTGGTACCAACTTATTTTGGCCGTGCGCAGCACGTTAGCGAAACCGGGGACCGAATCAGCTGTCAGACTCATCTCCGCTTTGGTATGTTAGCGATATCAAGCGAATAATAAGCGTCACATCTCCGGGAAACCGCACCCCATCTAACTCCACCGCCGCAGCGCTATGGCGGCCACATCGCCGCCTCTGCCTTCCACTTTCCTAAACCGAAGAAGGCTTCTTTCCAATCTCACTTCCTTTAAACTTTTATCGATTTCCTTACGCGACGAGAGACGCTGTCGTTTTCAGTGTCAGATCAAGAGCTTTGAGAATCAACCTCCGAATTGGAGTGTTGACTTTCACTCCGGACCCGAACCGGTCCATTTGAATTCTACATCGCCGATGTCAATGCCCGCCGCTTCCGCCTCCGATTTCTCGATCAAAACCGTCAAGAGAGTCTGCCTCTTTTACTGCAACGAGACCAAGGCGCTTTCCGAGAGAGTCGCTGCTGAGTCGGACACCATTGAACTCCGCAACATCAACTGGCGGTAACCTCATCGAATATCTATCTATCGATAACCTTTTAGATATTATTGTTAATTAAATCCTTATTAATTAAGTTAACAAGTTTCAATTATATTTATTTTAGGTCTTTTGAAGACGGATTCCCCAACTTGTTCATACCAAATGCGCAAGGGATTCGAGGTCAAAATGTAGCCTTTTTAGCCTCATTTAGCTCGCCATCCGTGATTTTCGAGCAGTTATCGGTCATCTATGCATTGCCCAAACTGTTCATTTCCTCCTTCACGTTAGTTCTCCCGTTTTTCCCCACCGGAACCTCCGAGCGAATGGAGGACTAAGGAGATGTAGCAACGGCTTTTACTCTGGCTAGAATTTTGTCTAATATACCTACTTCTAGAGGGGGACCGACTAGCTTAGTTACATTCGATATCCATGCTTTACAGGTTTGTAATTTCTTATAATTATATGTACATATACATGTATGTATCTCCCAAAAGCTTAGTGGAAAAAATGACTTGGTTTTGTGTTTTTGCAGGAAAGATTCTACTTTGGTGATAATATACTGCCTTGCTTTGAGAGTGGGATTCCGTTGCTTATGAATAGGCTTCAACAGCTCCCTAACTCTGAAAAAGTAAGATTGATGACCTTTTCTGTTTGGTGTTTATGTGTTCGTTTTGTATGAAGGTGATTTCACTTTTATTCCAGGTCACTCATAATTCTGGTGAGAGTGTAAAATATGGGAATGCTCACAGGAATATTAAAAAATTTCCAAGTTTTTCCATATATTTGGAGGGACCCGGAGGTCATCAAACCCATGCCCTAAATATGTGTGTTAGACAAAGTTACTTAGATAGTAATGAAAAGTTTGAGCAATAGAACTAACGTAGCTTTGTAAGATTTGGTGTAGGTTGATTGAATGATTTTGTAATGAAAGCATGAACCTTAAGATTAAATAAGGAATTTCAGGGTTATCTTGTCTTTTTTATTTCTACACTTCTAAACTTCTCAAATTGAGAATAGGTTAATCTTTTCTTTTGTCCTGCATTATTGGATTTTAACTCATAATTCAAGAATATTGGTTTTGGTGGAGATTGTTATTTCTCAGTCAAATTAATTTTAAAGTGTGGAACTGGTCATTCTGTATGCTTAAAAGAGCTTTTTTTTTAATTTTTAATATTCTGCTATAATATTTCTTTGGTTTTCAGATATCCATTGCATTTCCGGATGATGGTGCATGGAAAAGATTTCATAAGCAGCTGCAACATTTTCCAACGGTATGTAACATCTGCAAAGAAAACAATGATATGCTACATCATTTATTGTTGTGTTTAGAGTTCATTGATTCATTCCTGATGTCATTTCACTAGCCTGAAAATGTTGATTCTTATTGTTTGTTTGCATCTGTGAATCATTTTTCAGCTATTAGTATTACCTGTTACACATGAGCTGATTTATCTGACCAGTTCAGGCAGCAACTTGTCTAATAGCCTATTCACTTTTGCGAAAAATCATGCAGGGTATGTAAGGAAAAAGGCCCTGAGGTTTTGTTTTATTATACATTTGAAACCTATTATTTTGTGTTTATAAATGGACAGACCTCTACGGGCATGGGTTTGATCTTATTAAGGAGAATATTATGTTGGGTTCATATTTCTTACTTAAAATATAATGTTTCCTGTCCATAGCATGGCTCAAGAGTTCTTGTTTCCTGCATTAGTATCATGCAAGTGGTGTATGAAATATCTAAATATGTTAGAAAGGCCCTAAATTCTACTGTAAAAACTTTCTAGTCTGCTGTTTTACCATGTGGATATATTCATGATGGTGAATGTTGTTTGCTTTTCTTGCATGTGTTCTCTGTGACATCTAGTTTTTATCTCATTTTGGAATACAAATAGAATGTTGTTGGAGCCAGTATTCCATCAGCGATTATTCTCCAATTTTTTTATTTGGGTGGACCACAAATAATATGGATGAACATTATGTGGAAGTTTTCTTTCAGCTAATTGGAGTTGAAAAAACTCTATATTCGTGACACCACATGTGCAGGTTTCTTATCCTTTTTTATGGAAGTGGTCAAGGTCTCCTTTTGGCTTTAGAGTTGTATCTAGATGTTTTTTAGATTTTTATGCGTTATTTAGTTAAACTGTCTCTCTCTCCATTCTTAAAGGGGGGAAAACATGTTAGTTGCATATGATACTGGCATAATCTTCTTGAATTGGTAACAGATTATCTGTAACAAGGTTCGGATAGGGGACAAACGAATCGTACGTATCAAGGAGGGAGAAGCTGCAGGACGGCATGTTGTGATCGTTGACGATTTGGTTCAATCAGGCGGCACTTTGATTGAATGCCAGGTATGTTACTTATAAATAGGAATTCCTCCTCACTAATTCTTTTTTCATATGCCAACCTCCTAGTTTCAATCTCATATTTTTTTATTGAATATAAAAAGTCTGTAATTCCATACTAACATCTCATTGTATTGATGTCTTGCAGAAAGCATTAGCAGCCAATGGAGCTGCTAAAATAAGTGCCTACGTGACGCATGGTATTTTCCCTAACAAGTCATGGCGACGATTTGAACGTGATAATGGAGGTAATGCACGCACCTATACACAGCATTTTGGAAGTATCATTACCTACAGTATATAGACACAATCACACACGAGAATATAATAAACTGAAAACGGTACCGGATGCTCTAAGTGTAGAACATTCAGATGCTTTGGTTTTTTCTTTATTTGTGGATTTAGTTTAAAACTTTTGGGCTGATGTTGTGTCAATTTATGTAGGGCACCCTGAGAATGGGCTGACCTATTTCTGGATTACTGATTCATGTCCTGGAACAGTGAAAGAGGTAATGAACAAATCTCCATTTGAAATTCTTAGCCTTGCTGGTTCCGTAGCTGCTGCTCTCCAAAAATAAGAACAAATTCATTAGCAGCTCGCACTTGTAGTGGACAAAAGTCGCTGTCTATGAATAATGAGACCAAACTTTTCTCGGCTGCTGAAATTTTCTATTCAGGTTTTGTTGATGTGGAAAAAAATTGAGTAACTTTTGGGTTGATAATGCTAATAAGTCGTTTGATCTTGTCCAAATTTCCAAGTTTTTATTTAATAATTTGGGAGATCATATCCTGGAAGAAAAATAAATCAGTGTAACATCTCCCAAATGATCTATTAATGGGTGTTCAGTCACACAAATAAAAAATACAACACTAATTCAATAAATGTAGTTAATCATCTTTAAAATTCACCATCGCAAGCTGGAACATTTTATTTGTTATATCTCAAAATACGATTTGTTGTTTAATTTTTTTTAATTAACAATAGACGTCTAAAGTTTTCTCGTTATATTTTTAGGGTTCTACAGTTTTTTTTCGTTATACTTTTAGTTATATTTTTAAAATTTTTTAATAATAAAAATATTATTTTTTAAAAGAAATCAAACCTCCACACCGTGTTGTCCCTCTCTCTTCCATCCTCCCACTGTCGGCAGCAAAGGGTCACAATCAGTTGGATTTTGTTCGGAGCAACACAATGAATTCAACGGTGGTGGTGGTATAACGTACAAACGGCTGTAGTCATCGAAATTGTCGGAAAACAACAAAAAAATTTAGAAATTCGAAGACCCTTCGAGGCGGTTTTTACGATGTTCGACTCAGTTTCATGGTAGGTGAGGGAATGGGTTTTGGTTGCAGTGGCGAGACGGTTTCAATGGTATCAACGATGACATTAACGGACTGACGGTGACCGATCAATAGTGGAAGATGTAAAATTTGGATGGCTTTTGGTTTTTCTTAATTATAATATTAATTTCATAAAAAATAATTTTTGAAATTTTAATTCGTGACGCATGTTAGATAATTATCAAATTTAATGACCGTTACGGTCTAATCACCTAAAGCTGTAATGTTGAAAACAATAGATATCTATTATTAGTAAAAAAAAATTCTTTAGATACCAAATCATATTTTAAGATATAATTTGAACCCTAAAAAGTGTATTAGTTCTATTTATAAACTTTTATACACACTGGCGGATTCGAATTTGTTCAACAATTCATTAAATAAAACATACTAACGTTCAAACATATATGGTAATAACTTTGAAGCCCCTATTATAATTTTGGATTTGATCATTTCTCGCTCGTGAGTCGTGACCTGTTCAAATCATTAAATAAAACTTTTTTCGTTTAAAAATTGAAGAAATAAATAATTTGCGGTTTGGATTCTGTTTAAATTTACCGAACATTTTTTTTTTCAGCGATCATGATTTGGCTAAAAATAGAGTTAATACCCAACTAAAAATATACAATTTGAGTACCAAAATGAACCTATTTGGTTAAGATAAAAGGGTTGATTCTGATGTAAGAGGACATAGCAAATAGAATCAAGTTTGGTAGAAGTCCATTTCTCCTTTCACACGAGAAATAAAAGGTTTTGTCCCTAAAAGACATGAAACTGAACAAAGCTGGCACACGTGAAGAATGCGGCTTAATTCAATTCATGGTTACTTGATTGGGTATGGTTTGTGTCGTCTTCTTAAAAACATGTTTTCTGCAACGTTTAAAAATGCCGTCGTACACAACGTCGAATTGAACGCCTCCTCTCTCTCTACTCAATATGAATAACAGGTGATCTCCCTCTACTATCTTGTAATACCTGCAATTTTTTCAATACGTTTCCATGTCAATCTGATGCAACACCACACACACACTACACAGGTAATGATCAACTAAACCATATGCCCGGCTGCAAAGTTTGGCACTCCGAATCATTTGTAACGGGACAGCTTGGGTGTTCGACAGGGAGACGAGGGTGAGTCATGGATATCGTATTCAGAGCTCCATCGTTCTCCAGCCAATACTCGTCCCTGCAAATACAGACTCAAAACCATGAGCATTGAGATCAACTCAAAAGCAACGAGATGGTTTATATGTGTTGCTAGGGGGCGCACCGGTAGCCTTTATATGGCGGAGGAACGTCGAGAGGATGATGATACAGGCTCATCTGTAGAACTCGCATAAAAAGAATAGGGTGTATACCAAGAACGCCGGAAGGAACTGTGAAACCAAGGAACTTCCTTGTACGCTTCGTGGCATAGCTGAAATAGAACGTGTTCGGAAAGGTTTGCAGATCACGGTTTAGCTTCATGGATCCTTGAATCGTAAGATCGGGGAGGATCCAATCTCCGGTAGCCCATGGCCCTGCATTCCCCAAGAGACAATCAACAAGACCCCATAGACCTACTTTCCTCCATGACAAGTTAAAGTGATCGAACCCGAAATTGTAGTAGGTCTTTAGCAAGGGGATATCCAACCAATCATATATTACAACTCCTATCCGGCAAAACTGCATCACACATATTCGTCTCAAATTTCTCCCATCTTCAGGCCTGAAACCAATCATAATCACAGCAGCTCTTATTCGGGATACCGTTTCTATTTATATCATTCGATTTAAAGAAAAGAAGATTGGTTTAAAAGGGAGCTCACAGCATGCCATCTAGATAAGTTCTTGTAGTCCCATTGAAGGCACCGGATAAGGCTGTTATGCTTAACACCCAATTCTCAGAAGTATTCTCATGATCCTTGAATGCCTAAAGAAAAAATGACTAATAGAATTGATCAGCACTCGAACGGAGAAAAATGTCGGTAAAAGACAACTCTGCGTACAAATTGGAAATGGACTAACTTTATCAGCAAGCATCTGCTGCAATACCCGTGCAACCTGAGCGCCTGCTGAATGGCCAACGATGTGAATAGGGTGATCTTCATCCCATTCTGGGTAATGCCCTGCAGTCCAAATATCACAGTACAACAACTTAAGCCATTCTTACATGGAAAACGGATCGATTCAGAACAAAGAACAAAAATTGAAAAGTACATCACTTAGGGGGCGTTTGGTTCGCAGAAAAGATCATTACCAATGGAAATTATTTTTTCCGAAATTGTATTCTCATGTTTAGTTCACAAAAAGATCATTACCAGCTAATAACTTATTACCGATAGTAGCATTTTTGGAATAAAAAGGTAGAAATGTCATTACATCTAATTTCTTTGGTAATGAACAATTCCTACCATTTTGGACAAAAATACTATTGAAATAATAATTTTTTATAAAGATCATTCTCAATTCTTATTCTTCATGTTTTACTCTAAATTATAAACTTAATAATAATAATAATAATAATATACAAAGAGTTTAATTTAATAAAATATTAATAAATTTGAGTAGTTAAAATTATTTTATAATTTTATGAGATGAAAATATTATTATTGTAAAAATGTAAATATTTAAAATAATATTTAATTTTAAGCTATTAAAAAATAGATTTTATACATTAAAAAATAATATATTTGTCTACTCGAGATTACAATATTATTTTTCATGTTATATTATATTTTATATAAATAAATATGATACTTATGAAAATTATTTAAAACTATAAGTTTGGTATACTAATTATATTAATTATATGTTAAATGTATTTTTTTATTTTAAACTTATATAGTGTAATAATTAAAATATTTTTATAATTTTTCATTCAAATATTTATAATTTAATATTAAAGTTTTATTTGTTAAAAAAATATATATCACAAGGATAATTTGGTAAAATATGCATCCAAGTAATCTTATATTCCTCCAACCAAACACTATAATCTTACATTCCTACTAAGCAAACCAAAAAGATGATACAATATTCCCAGAGTAATATTACATTCCGGTAATCTTATTCTCAAAGATAATCTTACATTCTGTGAACCAAATGTATCCATAAGAGATAGTCTTCTCTGGTTAGGGATGGGCATGGAACCAGTGACGGATGCACTAAGCCCCCATAGGGGCCAAGTGCATCCAATTATTTTGGAAAATTGATTAAATTCAACTTAATGTGTTAAGGGAAAAAAATTACAATTTTTGCATACCTATTATTTTTACGAAAAGAAAATTAAAATTTTGGATCTCCATTCTTAAATTTATGGATCCGCCATTGCATGGGACCCGAACCCGAGGGCTTCTGACCTGACCCAATTAGACCGGGTCGGATTCGGGTTTAGGATGAAAAATACCTGACCTGACCTAAGAAAAAAATATAATTTTACCTTATATATTTACGAATAATTACAATAATATCCATCTATATATTATTTTTTTCAATTAAATCACTGTTTTTATTAAATAAAAATAATAATTTTTATTATTTCAGGTCGGGTCGAGTCGGGTTTGGATTTTATCTAAAAAAATCAGATGGTGTTCAGGTCGGGTGAAGGGTATATATTTTTCGGGTCAGGTCAGGTTGGCCAAACCATAACCATGCCCATCCTTCTCTCTGGTCCACTTTAGTCATGATGGTTAACAGCAATATCTTACAAGTATATACTACTTGTTAATGGGGTGCAACGATTCGGAAATCGCCGGAGAGATGCCTATTTCGAGCAACAAACACTTGTTTATGCTAATCGAGTGGCCAAATTCATCCATTAAAACACATAAACAGCACTAATAGGTTAAAAAACTGGGAAATTTGAGCTTACCTTGTTCATAAAATCGTCCGAACTGAGAGTGGCCACAAGCCTTGCTATGTTCTTCACCATAGTCAACACTCCCACCTTTCAGATAATAGAACAATTCACGAGCCCTGAAACCAAAAATCCCATATAAACATACAATAATCAAACTAAATGGCAACCCTTAATGCTTACATGATCGACTTACCTATCATATATGCTTGTGAGAGACCCCAAATCAGGCACAAGAACCCTCTCATCTTTCTTTTCAGCCCCTCCAAAATACGAAAAACCTCCAAGTTTCTGCAAACAAAACCCAACATCAGATCATAAATTCAGTTGAAAGGAGAAAAAAAAACCAGAACAGCAGAAGAAAGAAGATGAACATACTCCTTCGCCAAATCCAAAAATGCCATGAATCAAAACAATAGGAGGCAGATCATCAACGTTGGTCGTAGAGGGATCTTGTTTTTTCACCTCTGAGATTGCATTAGCCTTGAAAATCCGGTCACTCAGAGCCTGTGGGAGGTCCACGGCAACGGCGGTGCTATATACGTAGAGCCCATATAAAAGATGAACCATTAAGCTAACAAACAGCTCGGCCAATTGGAAAGCTGAAACCCACCACCGTTTTATCATCTTCTCAAAAACTCCACCCAAAAGAATCAAAATTGAAGAAAGGATACAAAACAAAGCCTCGAGTTTCTGGGTCTCCACTGTGAATAAGATGCGATAAGTATATGCTACTCTGCCGTTGAACAGGGTGGAAGGTGAAACAGGTTACCAATTTCTTCGGTTTTGATTATGGAGTTCTCCTGGGTTTCAACTTTCAAAGCTTGAAAATTGTTTAACCGCAAAATTTTCCACCTCTCCAAACCTATATAAGAACTGACCAATAAGGAATAGGGTAAAGTATATAAATGGCCACGAAACTTTTAAGATGCTTGCATTTAGGTCCATAACTTTTAAAACTTGCAATACAGTCACCAAATATTTAGTTCGTTTGCAATATGATCCCGACGTAATAGCCGCTTCATTGACGATAGGGTAAATTATATAAATGGTCACTAAACTTTTTAGAAACTTGCATTTAGGTCCTCTAACTTTTAAAACTTGCAACACAGTCATCAATTACATTCTAAACCCAAAATCCAAAATACTTCAATTACATTCTAAACTTCAAATTCCAAAATACTTCAATTATAAGCCCAACCCCAAATTCATAATCCATTCTCAAAATCTACCATAACAAACTAAACTTGAAGCAACAACCTAAACCCTCAAAACATAATCATTTCAAAAAAAATTAACCAACTATAAGTGAACAATAAGTGATTATGTTGGGTTTAAGGTTTAGGGTTATGTTAGACCTAAATACTCAATTCAGTTTATAAAAGTTGACTCGAATTTTTTTCGATTTGAGTTTATAAAATTTAAGTCAAGTCGAATTGAATTGAATTTTCGAGTTTCTGTTTAAATTTAATTATAAATATTTATCATATTATAATATTATTTTATTCTAATTCAGTTCAATTTATAAAATAATTGACTCGAATTTTTTTTTATTTAATTTTATAAAATTTAAATAAAGTCGAACTGAATTGAATTTTCGACTGTTTAAATTTAATTATAAATATTTATAATACTATAATATTATTTGATTATAATTTAAATAGTATTTTAACCATATACAATACATATTTTTCTTCATATTTTTCCCATATGTGATATACATATATCATACAGAGTCAAGAGACTTGACTCAAACTCAAAAATTAATCCATTAATTACTAAAAATTGAGATATTCGAGTTGTATTTTACAACTCGATTTTAACTTGAAATTTTTTTAAGTTGAGTTTATGAAATTACAACTCAAAGTCAAATTGTATCAAATTTTTTGAATCAATTCAAGTCAAAAAATAAATTTTTTGAATCAAATTGAGTATTGTTCACTTAAAGTTGTTTAAATCTAACTTTTAAATCCTAAACCCAACATAATCACTTAGGTGGCGTTTGGTTGGATGGAATCCCTTGGAATTGGGGGGAATTGAAATCCAATTCCACCACTTTCCCATGTTTGGTTCAAGTTTTCCAAGGGAATTGGAATCCCTCATGGCTTTAACTTTCCATCAAATAAGGGAAAGTGAATTCCATCCAAGAATGGATGGAATTCAATTCCCTTGTTGGAGGGAATTGAAATTTGATCATACTACTCTTATCAATCTTTTGGTGACTTATTCATATATTGAATAAAAGTATTTTTTTATTATTTCGGGTAGGGTCGGGTTTCTAATTCATATATTTGGGTTGGGTCGGGTAAAACTTTATTTTGGTTGGGTTGGATCGGATCGGGTTTTTAAGTGTGATATTCGGGTCGGGTCGAGTTCGGGTTTAGGGTGAAAAATACCCAACCCGAAAATATATATAATTTTACCTTATATATTTAGAAATAATTACAATAATACCCCTATATATATATATATTTTAATTAAGTCACTATTTTTATTGAATAAAAATAATTTTTTATTATTTCGAGTCGGGTCAGGTCGGATTTCTAATTCATATATTCAGGTCGGGTCGGGTGAAACTTTATTTTGTTCGGGTTGGGTTTTTTAAGTGTGATATTTGGGTCGAGTCGGGTCGGGTTTTTTTAAGTGTGATATTCGGGTCGGGTTGGGGTTAGGGTAAAAAAATTGGACCGACCCAACAAATATATATAATTTTACCTTATATATTTAGGAATAATTACAATAATACCCCTATATATATAATTTTTTCAATTAAGTCAATGTTTTTATTGAATAAATTTTTTTTTATTATTTTGTGTCGTGTCGGGTCGGGTTTCTAATTCATATATTGAATAAAAATAGTTTTTGGTATATTTTTGGTAACTAATTAACATACTCCGATTAGAATGTATCGAAATATTGCTCTATCTTTTGATAACTTATTAACATATTTTGATTGCGATGATTTTAACTTATGATGTTTATTAGCATGATTTTTATAATTTATTGAAATGAATAATCAATCAATAAAATGAAAATTTAATATTTTTTAATTTTTTATAATATATTGCTACATGTAAGTTGTAAAACAAACTAAAATAAAGCAAAAAAAAAAGAAGAAGGGCAATTCTGTCATTTTACATTACTGAAATCAAATTCATCTGACATGTCTGCGAACCAAACAAAATATGGAATTGGATTCTAATTCCATTTCCTGCCAACCAAACAGAATATGGAATTGGATTCTAATTCCTGACATATTCCAATTCCTTCACAAATTCCAATTCCCTCATAAACATTCCAGCAAACCAAATGCCACCTTATTGTTATGGACCCAAGATGAACTAAATGTTGTTGATTATGTTGGGTTAATTGGTGGGGAAATTTAGCATTTAAGGTTATGTTTTGAGGGTTTAGGATTATTGTTTTAAGTTTAGTTTGTTATGGCTGATTTTGAGAATGGATTATGAATTTGTGGTTGAGCATGTAATTGAAGTATTTTTGAAATTTGAGGTTTAGAATGTAATTGAAATATTTTATAATTTGGGGTTTATAATATAATGGATGATTATGTTACAAGTTTTAAAAGTTGGGGGACCTAAATATAAGTGATTGAAAAGTTTAGTGACTATTTATATAATTTACCCTTAACGACAATGAAATGGTCGTTATGTTGGGGACCATATTACAAACGAACTAAATGTTTGGTGATTGTATTGTAAGTTTAAAAGTTTAGGGACCTAAATGCAAGTATCTGAAAAGTTCAGTGACCAATTATATACTTTACCCTAAGGAATAGGGATATAAAAAACTGACATGATGCGTAAAATTGACTATAACCAATTTGAATTAAAATTGTTTATGACTCAAGGTGTGGTGATCTAAAATTGATTCAAGTTTAAATTAGAGTTAACCTGAACTCGAGTTGGACTTGAAAATTTATGACTTATGCCCAACGTGCACCCAACCTGAGAACGACCTGAACCTGATAAAGTGATAATCGAACTCGACCTGCATCTGACCTGATATGAATCTGAACCAGAGATTAACTCGATAAATAATTGATATTACCTGACCTGTTATAAACCTGATATGTAATTGACTCAACTTATAAATGATCATACATGTTATTAAATGGAATTGATATTTACTTGACTTGTAAGTTACAATTGATGTTGTGAGATTTTGAAATTATAATAAACTATTATAATTAATATGATTATTTTTTAAAAGTTAAAACAATTTGTTAGTTAAGATAATTTTTTAACAATTAAATAAATTATGATAATTAATATGATTACTCTTTAAAAGTTAAAATAAATTGTTAGTTATGATAATTAAATTAATAAATTTATTTTCTATTTTAGTTATAATCCTTATATTATACATCTTAATTATAATAATTAAATTAATTTCATTAAATAATTTATTTATTGAACATTATTTTATTAGATTATATAAAATTAATTTAAATATTTATAATTTGAATTTATTTTTATGTACTAATTAATTAATAATTTAAATATAATTTAACTTAAAATTTTAATATATATATATAAGATAAATTTAATTAAGATTAAAAAAAATAAAATTTAAAATTTAAGAATCAATTTAAAATAAACAATATATATATATATATATATATATATTCACATGAGTGGTGTAGACACTCATTTTCGTCTGATTTATTTTTAATATATATATATATATATTAATATAGTATATTTTTTGAAAATATATATAATATATAGTTTTTGAAAACATTTTGAGTATATATATAATGTATAGTTTTTGAAAACATTTTGAAAAAATATATATATAATATATAGTTTTTGAAAACATTTTGAAAAAATATATATATAATATATAGTTTTTAAAACATTTTGAACACTTATATAATATATAGTTTTTAAAAATATTTTGAAAAAATATATATAATATATGGTTTTTAAAACATTTTGAAAATATGTATATAATATATAGTTTTTAAAACATTTTGAAAATATGTATATAATATATAGTTTTTAAAACATTTTGAATATATATATATATATATATAGTTTTTAAAACATTTTGAAAAAATATATATAATATATAGTTTTTAAAACATTTTGAAAAAATATATATAATATATAGTTTTAAAATATTTTTGAATATATATTATATTATATGATTTTGAAAACAATTATTTTAAAAACGCATATATGATATATAATTTTAAAAATTTATTTATTATTATTATTATATATTATATTATTATTAGTATTTATTTAATTTTATTTATTTACTTTTTTTTTGTTTTTACATGTACAATGGGTCCAAGGTTTGGGTATGGCAGAAATCCAATCAAGTTTGGGCATAATACAACCAGTGTAAGTTAGGGTTTGTAAAACCCTAATATATTAAGTTAACGGTACCGCAAGGGAGCGCGCGTGAAGCCATGCGCCAGTCAACACAGAAACGATCGGCCGAGATCCCCGGGACTGAACCATCTCGGGGTGTTCGGTCAATAAAAACCCACAACGCCGAGATCATCAGGACCTAAACGACCCCTTCAAAGCCTATAAAAGGGAGCCTCATCGGAGGAACATGAAACACATCAGTGAACCGTATATAGAGATAACAACAACCAACCACACATCGAACAAGAGAAGTAAACAGAGTCAAACACAACACAATGAGGGGAACCACGAAAAATAACAGAAACCAAAAATCAAAGCATCAACAGTCACTAAAAATTACAGAAAAGCGAGGGTTAGATTCGGTTTTGTTCACCGAGAACACGCAAGAGCCTAGCCAAAACCTAAGAGTCACCGAAACTCAAGAGACGCC